GATCGACTCCGTATAAATCCACGCACTTCTTCCTGCATTGCTAGCGAGTTTGGCAGTCGTGAGATGCGGTCTCCTCGGTTAGCCGGTTGTGCAGCCGTGAATATAGTCCCATGCTACAGAAATGAGGACCAAATTTCACCACACGTCCTGTTGGAGCGACCAAGTAAACGAGCAATTTTGTTGGTAATAGTCTCTTTCCGAGGTATAATTGCATTATCCACACGTACATTAGCCTGTAGCACGAGAATACCCAATCTTTCTTCTATAGTAAGAGCCTTGTTACGATGCGTTCTCACAAACGCGATGGCTCGAACGGCATCCCCCGCTTCTCGACGCTTCTTCTTTCCTTTTCGCGGGGACGCCATGTGCACTCGACAGCCAGACTTGAAATGTTGGGTTTCAAATTCAATGCTATTTTTGACTACCCCGATTTGCAATTGGAAAGTCTGACCCCTCTCGTCAAGATGATATATTAATCGCAGTCGAGTTTGTTACAATAAAGACATCTACAGTCCAAATACATTGATATTACTGGGAGAAGGACCAGTAGGGTTGTGATAAAATCTGTAAAAACATGTTACGGCGCAGGTTTTGAAAATTGCAGGACGCGATTGGGCACATATATAGCCAGACAATAGCTCCAGCTCTCCTGAAAATAGGACTTGAAACGAATGAAAATTGATGACGCAACGTCAAAAAGCGTCCTCGATGCTGTCGACCACTGTCAGAAGCTAGAGTTTTTCAGTCATGTAAGGTGTCGTTTTGTAGCATATTCAAAATGGCTTCGATCCAACAAGTGGCGATTCATCAGAAGTCACTCGTCAACGGGCTCAACTATCACGTGCTTTATCCTAAGCAATTAAAGCAGAATAGTTGGTGGATCTTTGTCGATCTTGTTGCGTCCAAATGAGGTTGATTTAGTATAGGAGTTATCGTAAATGTGAAGTCGTACCCTTAGCAGCAGTAACGCCTTGATTGGGGGAAGCAATAAAAAACATCTGGAGCAATTACCACCGCGTCTTTTCGGAAAGATATCTAGCGTTGGCAGGACATCGTTTCAATAGAGCTTTGAGTCACGACGACAAGCTAAGGTAATGCATGCGCTACTGGATAACAGTGTAGACATCGATGTGCACATTGCAAAGCAACGTACAAGAGTGTTGCTGGAGCTGGACTGGATGCCCCTAAAGACACTAGCTTAAGGGCCTTTTCGCTATTGGCACAAGCATGTTATGCATTCATCGATGATGTATTTAGATTGTAACGCATACTCTTACAATTACGTAAGCTGAATAGATAAACAGAATCCTTCCACGTGCTTATCTCAGCAAATATTGAATATTCATCGCTGAAGAGGCTAGTGGTGGCCGTCCCCGCTGACTCCTAATAGGAACCTGCAGAAGAGGCTGTGGCGCATTTTCTAAATGACGCTGAATTGGTTGAGGGCAAGGCTGGAATGCCATCACTGACGACCACGGAAGCTGTATAACTGGCCCGGGCCAGGTGTTAAATGTGACGGTATCCCAACGTTGCTGATATGGCTGTTGCGGTTGTCCTAATGTGTTGACTTTGCAGAATTGGCGGGTAGTTCAGTGCGTTCGGGATCTGATTCCACATATCGCTGCTTTGTTCTTGGTGACCTTATTGTAATGCATCGAGGTATTGATCGGACATCCAATTATTTTTGGTTTCCAGAGTCCAATCCTGCGTCAGTGTCAAATGTAATTGCGCCCCAAGCAAGATTGTGCTCTTCCGACACTCTATATCCCAATCAACTGACCACTTGCAGTTGTTTGAGGGCCTCTTGCCTGTCGAATCCGAGGTCACTAAAGTTTAAGTGGTAGCCGTTTACACCGGGCATACTGAGGCCGTATGCTGCTCGTCCGCAGATGGTATGTGCGCAGAATAAAACCTTATTGTAGTAAGAGCAGTCACACTCAAAGGTGTTGACACAAACAACCCACCTGTTTGGCGGCATTCCAATGTGATGAGCTCTACGAACACTCCATTGCACCGCTGACCGATAAACGTTTGCTGCTGCGGATTTCTCTTCGTCTGACAAGCACTCCAGAGAGATGGGAACGATTATATTGTCGGTACTCACCGCTCCGCTCTCGGACGAGATTGCCGCGCTTTGCTCTTTTTTTACGCCACGGGTGTTATTTCCCAAGTACAGAGTTCTCACTACCGAGCGTTCCGCTGTCGCAAACACAGTAATCCGATTTGCTGGTATTAGCACTCTAGCGAGTCATTTTGTCTCTTTTGGCGGTGATACCCGAGATGTGAGAGCAGGAGATGGCGCACATATCGAGTAGTCTTCAGCGATAGTAAGAAGGTTCAGAATTAATCGTCGAGTATCAACCACGTTTCGCAGTTAGCGATTTTCAAGTTAATCCATATTAAACGTGGAGGAACTGCATTTTCGTCCATGCGCTGTATGTATGCCCGCATCTCCGGTGTGACCTTGGGTCGGGGGAAACAGCGTATGCCATTTCACCACGTGAATGGAATTGGTTTATATGCTGAATTACCGAACACAAGTTGATCTTACGGGAATGCACCTTCCAGTGAACAGAACACTTTCGCGGAAAGACAGCTTCTTGGCATGTAGGACGTTTGCACTGGAGACGGCGCTCCACCATGTCATGGCAGCCTGAGCAAATAGTGCACGTACTTGTCCTCACCGAGGTAACTTTAAAGCAGCAAAAATGCTCCCATCGGTACTTGATATAGTCAGCTTCTGCTCAAAGCTCGGTCTGCTTCGTTCAGTCTTGCTTGAGTGGTATCGTGCAGGGAGTGCAATGACAGTGTACAACACAGTCTTGAGAATGCACGTCCAATATGACTGGACACGATCATTTTGAAGTGGATAACATAACAGCTCAGCATTGACAGTTTGTACGTCTGTATAATATGAACAACTGCCAGGTATGCCTTTCCTTTCTCGAATTTACGCCTGTTTTTATGCGCCAACAATGCTTGATCTAGGCCATAAAACCGAGCGACATTTCATCTGCAAAGCACAATACATGTTGTTGGCCGACGGCAAACACTTTTACGACAACGGCAAACACAAATTGACACGAGCAAGCACACAGGCTGGGTTTGACCACTAGCAAGCACTTTTACGGTTGCATGTACTAGCAAACAAACATAAAAGCTCCGCTACAATCCTGTACTATCAGCAGTACTGTCGCTATTCTGACTGCAGACCTATAGCTGTTTACATTAACTGACAGTTACTCTTATTAATATGACAGTTTTTCTCTTTAACCTGAGAGTTACAGGTATTCAATTTACCTGACATTTGCTCACATTAACCTGACAGCGTTCACTTTAACCTGACAGTTACTCATATTAATCTTACAGTTGTTCACATTAATCCGACAGCGCTCACTTTAACAAGCGCACGTGGTCGATTTACGACAAATCGACATCGATATTTTTTAAAACGACCCTTTTTGCGTTTTTGAAACGCAAATCGAGTTCTCTGGATATTCATATCCAGAGTTTTAGGGGCGATCGAAAACCGTCGACGATCCTCTATAAAATATTATGGTACCACATTTGTAATTATTAAAAGTATAGTGGCTTGCAAGTGATAGGCTAAAAGGACGGAATACCTAATAAACTACGGTAAAGCATAAAAAAGCACTGGTGAATGTCGTTCCAAGCCGCCTGGGTCAACATTCACGCTATCTGGTTTTAGGTGGATGTTGCTCCAATATACGATACCACCGATGGTGGGTGGTACCGTACATGAAGGCTTCAAAATTAAAAGAAGGGATTAGATGAATACTAATAGGATTCCTATCGAGGCCGTCTCGCGTCAAGACGGCAAGGTCGGACGACAACGCACGTTCGACCGCGGCTTCTTTATTTTGGCTAAACTGTATCCTCATACACATCAACCTTACGACGTAACGCGTAAGTCAGCCCCCTCCCTCTCACACACACACTCACACACACGCACGCACACACACACACACACATCACACACATCAGAGGAAGAAAACGAATAACCACGTCGGGTATTTCAAAGGGAGGACTGACAGTAGAGAAAATGATTCTTGCTCCGCTCCGTCATCCGACTCGTAGGATTCCTCAGCGTTCATATTTCTATGTCGCCGTCACTCGAGTGAAGACGTTATCGCAGTTGTATCTCATGGCCCCCCTTACGAAAGAATTTTTGGAGTATTTTACTCCAAGTCGTGATGCGCTGGCAGAAACCCAAAGACTTCATGCAATTGAGGATCGAACAGATTAAGAAACCATAATGCTGTGGAAAAATTGTTACAGGTCTTCTTTAAAATACAGTACTTTCTCAAGTTAGGGTACCAACTTGTTTTCAAATTTTCGAAGCTCGGGGATAGCCACTCAAATGAATGACATTCATTCTCGCTCGGTTTGTTGATGTCTTCTTCTAGACTGGAAGTCTTAGTTTAATCGCAATTCTTCTCCTTTTTTTCTTTAAAAAGTCCTTCATTCCGCACTAGTTATTACTTGTTGAAAATACCGTAATATCCAGAGCTTCACCGGGCTTAGCACGGCATTAGTATGTGCAGATATAATAATTCCAGGCGTCGTAGCTCGATTTATTAGCCACTCTAACTCGATCGATTTATCACCTCGATGTATAAAATGACCTCGATTTACTATAAATCGAGCACCCACCCTAGTGATAAACGACAAAAGCTTTGCAAAGCACAATATGCTAGTGGACCAGACTCCACAGAAAGTGGATGCGAGCCCATAATTGCAAAAAAGGGCTCAGCCTAAACTTGTATTACATTAATGGGAAAAATTCCTACAGATGAAGCTGTCAAATCTACACCAACCTACAAACAATATACGCTCACAGAAAAGTAATCAATTGTAGATTTTCTTCTAGGAAGGGGGAGGATAATCTGAGAAAGCGACGATCGCACGGTGCAGCTCCTGTTCGCCTCCTCCCTGTCCATCAGCACTGTCAGGGAGAGTAGCTTTTTGCCCGTCGAGCCATGAGCGAGTCTGCCAGGAAGAAGAAGAACTCCAAAGACGTCAGGGACGAGGACGTCAAGTCGCGTAGCAGCTTCAGCGATAGCCTCTCGGACGAATCGAGTGTGCTCTCTTCACCTTCGCAGCGCAACCATCAGCGCCCCAGATTCGACTCAAAGGCCTCATGGGCGGATTCTACGCGCTTCGACATGGGACGCGCTGACTCTCGCGCCTCCGACGTGTCGGCCAGGGACTTGAGGCTAACGGGGCTCGGAGGGCGGGTGTCTTCTAGCCACAGCCGCCAGCGCTCAGACTCGAGAGCCTCGAGGTTGTCGCGCTCAAGTAGTCGCTCCAGCATGAGCGGCACCCGGTCCAGACAGTCCTCCTTCGTTTCCAACTTTGGCGTGACCAAAGGCAAGAAACGCAAAGACAGCAACGCGCTGTCGACCATCACGGAGAACTGGAACCTGGCAGACGAGCAATTCGGTAGTCCCTTCTCGGAGTTCGACGCGCAGGAGCAACCGATTCGAGAGGAGCTGCAGAGAGGCTTGGCTATCATCAACGACCACACGGTGAGTGGGGGGGGGGGGCAGGAAAATTGGGGAGGGGCTATTATGACTAATTGTGTGTGTTAATTGGTGTGCGTTAGACTAAGTTGAAGGAGATTGAGGACGCCATTACGGCTGCAATGTCGGAAGTTTGGGGATATTGGGTACGAGTTGATGGCTGTCGCTCTCAGCGAGCAAGACTGATGAATTGTCTGAAAGTGTAGGCGGACCCAATCCAGCTGTATCTCCACCCAGCAGAACGTGTGGATGTCCAGGATCTTATCAAGACGGACAATGAGCTGTTCAATAAGGTTCTTACGGTGTTTTCCGTATTGTGTGACGAAATCTCGGAGCTCAAAGTGACGGTGGAGGACAATTTCTACCCGGCGCTGATCATGTTTGGCCAGGCGCGTCATGGAGAGGAAGGCGAAGTAAAAGGAGGAGAAGATGAAGTTCACATCGGACGCATGTTGGCGTTTTTCCAGGATATTTCCAACTTTGTGGACCGGTGCAACGCTATCACCATCAACATGATCCACCAGCTTGCCAGTTTGTACCAGAGCTTCCAGAAACTGTGGAAATCGACGTTCAAGCTCGTGCATCTTCACCCCGTGTTCGACGCATTAGCGAGTCTGCTTGAGGTTATAATCACGATCGATGCCATCGTCATCGACAACCCGAACATCATCACGTCCTGGGACAAATACAAGCGTATGATGCAGTATGTGCGCTCGGACCCGCCCCGTTACAACGTCACAGTGGAAAAGGTGAAGCAGTTCGAACGTCTTCTGGTCAGCCTCGACCAGACGATCATGAGTGCTCAAGTGTTCCAGAGTTGCATTGAGCAGGACTTTGAGGTCTTTTCGGGCGGTGACGTCGCCGATGACGACGAGGATCCCGACGGAAGCGACAGTGAACAAGGTGGACGACGTGCGAGCAGCAGTGGGGGAGAGTCACGGATTGATATCCGCACGAATCGAGTGTTTCTGGAAGAATTCGTGCACTGTATCAGCGCTCGCTTGGGCATTGCTGAGGGTGCGATTGCTTCAGCTACAGAGACTTTCGAACGAAACGACCTGGTCGGAACAGCGGGACTGTACGTGCTTCTCCGACGACTTCAGCCGTCTAATGTGCCTGCCGATCCGGTGCTGTACAAACGACTGTGGGAGACGCAGACAAAGGCTCCGTGTGTGACCATTTGTGGCAAGATCATGTGGTACATGCCAGATTTCCTCCTGAAATACTCGCCGATGACGTCGAAGAAGCTGCAGCCCACGGATATCGTGCAGTTCCGTCGTGAATATCTGCACTCGCTGGATGAAGCCTTCCCAGCCGATGTAACTACGGCCAAGTTGGAGTTGAGTGCATGGCTTGTGCGCATGGAGTCATTTTTCCAGCCGACTACGCGTGGGACGGGCGATACCTCTCGGACGTTGAGTGTTCGTGGCAATTTGATCCTCAAGGGCTTGATTCTGGCGAAACGAGTGCAAACGATGATGCACACTCTGGTGAACTTGCATCTCTCGCTTCAGATTCCGATGCCCAAGCGAGTTGTGAGGCCCCTCTACACGTGCATTGAGATCCTCAAGGCTGTCGAGTTCATGTTTGCTCGGAAGAACCCCATCCTGGCTGAATCCTCCTCGCACTTGCTGCGTCAAGTCGCTCACTCGTTGTTCTCATTCTTCCGTCCTCTGAAGGCCCATCTAGAAGCCAGCAAGAAGTTCGATGATACCAAACTCGATGTCTTAGCTGCTGTGACCGTGCTGGAAGACATCCTCAACTCGGGTGAATCATTCTCGTACACGCGTATCACAGTTCTTGATCTCGCAGCTCAGATCGCAATGATATCTCCTGACAATGGCAGTGCTGCTAGCGAGAAGGGCAGCGACATGGACACTACGGTTCCAGTGGGGCTTAAGGACGCTGGCGAGCCTGTGAAGCTCATTTGGAAGCTACGCCTTCTTAGTGATTTCCAGCGCAAGATTCGAGGCGCGTGTGATTGCTCGTTCTTCTATTGGAGTCGCGAGCTGCTGCATCCTTTCCTGTCGGATCTTTACAACCAACCGGAACAAGCGAATCGCATCCAATACGTCGTCGGTGGCTTCTTGGACGCAATCAAGTTGCTCCGTGGAGCGCAGCACGAGACTGACAACGAGCTGTACGTGAACGCATATGCAGAATTTATCGAGTCTGTCTTAGAAGAGGAGATCGTGGAGAATCTGTGCAAGGATGTAGAGAATGATCTTCGCCTGCACGTCCACTCTGTGCACCTGGACCACCTGGATGCGCCCAACCCGAAGAGCGCTGACTTTAAAGTGCTCCACTATTACTTGGATCTTCGTCCGATTCGTCTGCATGGAAAGGCGCTTGATCTTCGCCAACACGTCACTCATTATTTGGAGAGCACGTTCTACAATTTGACTACAGTGGCGCTCCACGACTGGAAAACTTACGGTGAGATGCGCAACTTGGCGAACGACAAGTATGGCTTGAGTCTTGCGGATAATCATCTCCCCATGGGATCGCTGGATCAGGGTCTGGATATCCTACAGATCATGCGTAACATTCAGATCTTTGTTGCTCGGTACAACTACAATCTGAACCAGCAGTTCTTCCTGGAACGACGCAGCGACAAGGGATCGAGGCACCTGAACTCCATCAACATCCACTCCATCGCTAGCTCCATCCGCACGCACGGCATGGGAATCATGAACACGACTGTGAACTTTACGTACCAGTTCTTGACCAAGAAGTTCGACATCTTTTCGCAGTTCCTGTTTGACGAGTATATCAAGAGTTATCTGCAGCGTGAGAAGCGCTGGTACAAGAAACATCGCGACGACAAGGAAGTGGACAACAAATACCCGTTCGATCGAGCGTTCCAGTTCAACAAGGACATCCGTAAATTGGGCGTGTCAGACTCGGGTAAGACCTTCTTGGACCAGTTTCGTATGCTGATCACTGAGATCGGCAATGCTCTGGGCTATGTGCGAATGGTGCGCTCTGCCGGTATGAATTACTGCAGCAACGCCATCAAATTCGTGCCGGATCTGAATCACACGCACTTTAAGTTTGAAGCGTTTGCTGGAGTCGGTGTCGCCGAGGAGAAGAACGAGGAGACAGGAGAAGTGGTCCAAGACGAGATTGTTGGCGCCAAGTTGTCTCGCGAGACTGTTGTGGCTGCACGCAATCTGGACTCTGTCATCTCGACGCTGGCCAAGAACTTCTCGGAGAACAACGACTACTTTAAGGTGCTGGTGAAGGTTTTCCAGGACGTCACCGCCAGCGACGAGCAGAAGCATTTGGTCAACTTTTACACAATTATTCCGGCACTTACTATCAACTACGTTGAGACAACGGTGCAAGCCAAGGATCTCATGTATAAGAACACCCGTCGCCGCGAATCGTACTTCTCGGACGATGGCTTCGCGATCGGCGTAGCCTATATCCTCGCTATTCTCGACCAGGGAGAGGTGGGCTTCTGTGTGCGATTCTACATGTAGTGTTTTATTCGTTGCACTGACAAATCGCTGTGTGAATTTGTGAATTCGGCTGTAGCAATTTGATGCTCTGCACTGGTTCGAAGAGGTGGTGCGAAAGTACAAGGTGGAGGAGGAGGCTTACAACGAGAAACAAGCCGAACGTGAAGCGCGCAAACGCGAGCAGGCGGCCAAGAAGCAGAAAGAGACGACTGCTGAGCTCATTGATGACGAGGAAGAGGTGCATACACTGCAACTCACTGCCAAGCGCATCGAACTGAACCGCCGCGAGTTTGACCTGCTGGACTGGTCTCTTAATGGTGCGCGCATTTTTTTCAAGGACTAGGTGGGCACATCCAGTAAATGTATCGATGCTTTTGAGCTCTGTCGGCTGAAGACAGCAGGTACTTGCAATGTTATGTCATCTAACACCACGAGTTCTGTCAGTATCCGATCATTTTTGCATCTACCTGAGCTGACAGGTATCGTGGCATGGGGGCGACGTAAATATGTCGAGATCCGCTTTCAAGCTCGTGAAGTACGCGGCGGGGAATTCCATCGAGTTTAGTAATGTCCATTGCAGCGACCTGAAGGTGCAGCTACATCGTTTCCGTCTGGATCTCATTTCCATGACAACAGCTAAGCTTCTTGAGGGTACTCCTGTTTACCATATCAGTAAATGGTATGTGGAAATGGAGCAACGTGACTGTTCAGGAGCAAACTCGAGAGCCACATCCGGCCCGGAAGTTCCGGGCTGAAAGTAATGATGTGAGATAGAAAACAAGAGTGAAAAAAAATGGTGATGGGGAGTCAAGTTTTGGACATGTTCATCGTCAGATGAGTGAGAGGCCCTACGTCCTCGGTGATTATTGTTGCTCTCGGACGTAGGGTCTGATATCGTCGTGGCAGATCGTAGTAAGAACTGAGTGGAGATTATCCATGACGTCCAAATAGCTACACGCCGCTCTTAACAAGAAAAACGAAATACATGCACTTGATTTCGGAAGTCAACGCAAGAGTACATGCACACGCCACCGGCGGTCTAGAGACCGTTGTCAAACTACTAGAAGGGTTCAACAAGTCCATGATCTTGCTGCACAAACCTAAAATTGCGGCAACATTGGCAGTGAGCGAAAAGCTTGGTTCAGAGAAAATACAAACCAAACGTACCGCCAAAGCAACTCGAGTTGCTCGTCCGTCACCACATCCCGGACGAGGAGCTTCAAGTCGCCCAAGCTATTGAGAAGTTAGTTCGGCTTTCAAATGCTTCTCATCCACTGCGCATCGGAAGCTCGTACCTCTTGGAGAATAGATCATCCATACAGATCTTATGCAACAGTGACTGTGCTGCGTAGTGGTTAACGATCTTCGTGGACACGAGAAAACGTTCGAATTGCGACTCTTCTTCCAGTAGGAATGGACGCTCGAACCACAAGCGGGGCAGGATACGGTGATCATTCAGTGCGACGTCAGCGCATTGATCCACTACGGCACGCACAAGACGGCCGGTTTCTTCGCACGAAAAACTTTCATTATATTGTCAAAGGGGACGGAGAGAAATACTACCATTTCACCATTTGATAAAAATTGTACCTGGTGAGAACTTGAATTTCAATTCGAAATTGCACCAGAGCAGCAAGAAACGCATTCATCAAGTCTTCTATTTCGGCTGAAGGAGGTGTGCTTAGAGCTGGTTTGAATGGGTTAGTGGGTTAGTACGCGAGAGCAGCGAGCAGTAGAGTCGTACGTCTTACCGATGACAAGCCAGCATTTTGTCAGCTGAACTTGTAGGCGAGCTAAACTGAAGATGAAATCGCGCGTATTGGTTTCGGCTGGTTACACAAGAAATGCTTTCAGGATGCGTTACCGGATTCTCATAATCATGAAAAAAATCTGACCTTGGAACGTAACTTCGGTCACCACACAAATGCAGTTCCACTCGTCCACCAGAATATCAATCGGTGGTGGCAGATCCCGCTCAATGAAAAATATTTGGTGCTCCGTGCACAATTCATCGAGAAGCTCGTCCTGGATACAGACAGCTGTTAGGGAGCACATTGTGATAAGCAGCACATGATACATGCCCCTACCTGCTCCAGAAACTTATCCGAACACAGCACACGAACGGATACGCTCTCTCTGTGTGTCGGAAGAACTCTTTGTTTTTTCAAGACGGGCATAAATGTCGAGGTTTCCTCATAGGCAGTTGCATCATCTTCAAGCTCACTTGTTGGCTCCAATGACACAGCTTTTCCGCTGATCATTTCCAAGTATGTGTGCAGCTCTTTCCAGTAGGTAGAGCCCAGTACGTGTTTGAATTTGGCACTGGAGAGAATTGTGGCTGCAACTGTCGACAGCATATCTCCATTGCGAGATCGACTGATCGACACCATACTGTCAGTAAACGCCAACATATTAGTCCTTTAGTAGCATCAACGCTATAGAAACCAATGTACCGCAACGTATGTAACCAAGCAGCTTGGCGAAGACTGGAGCACGCTTCGACTATCTCGACACTGGAAAATGCCGAAGGATTCAGGGACATTGTGTTCACCTTTTGGAATTGCTGGGAGATTGTCGCTTCTAGAGTCTCCAAACTGACGCAGTCCAGGTCATGCCGAATAGAAGCTTTATCCACCTGAAGCAATTTCTTCCGCATTAAACCCCACAGCGCTGGTCGAGTAATCTGCTGGAGATATTGGTCGTGTTTCTGCGGGCCATTGGAACCCTTCGCGTTCTCTGTTGGAGCAACGCCGCATGGATGGGTTTCTTCCAATGGCTCCTTCCAATTGCAATGAAGAAATCCGTTGCTCAAGATGTAGTCCGTGCTTAAAACACTGTCCTCAGCTACGACTTTTAGTTTTGAAGCAACCCCAGATGGCTGGGCGGTTGGAGTTGCAATGCTTTGGTCATCATCAAGAACCTGCGGACTAAGTGAATCCGACTGCGATTCTGATACTGCTGGAGACTTCAAACGTGCAGCTGATATGGCTGAGCTTTTGTTGTGCTTCAAACTTTGGAGCGCTGACTGCAAGCTGCAAGTCGCAGTCTCTGCTGGCTGTGACTCCGATGTTGTGCGTTCCTCTACAAGTAATTCTGCGAGTCTATCCGCTGCGACTGCGGTATTCCACACGCTTGGGATATGCATTGCTGCTCGAGTCAGCGAGATACCTGGCCGTTGAAGACTACGCAAATAACCGTCCGCAAGGGATACAATCTTGGACGGAGCACCGATAATTCTTGCATCATCGCGTCTTACCACTTCTAAAGGGAGCAATAATTGCTGCACTTCCCCGTCGCGTTCCGCTGAAGACTGAGGAAGACGCATGTCGGACAGGAATCTCCCCCAATCGGCCTCAAATACATTCGGCACGACGATTCTCCTTTTGAGCAGCAGCATCGGAGCATTGGCTCTAGTCATCTTCTTAAGAAACATACTCGACTCGTCGTAAAGAAAACTTTCACTCGATTTGAGCGCCTCACACCAATCACAATGCAATCGCCGCGGTCCAGACGATAGACGTCGTAATTCCTGTGTCTCCTCCACCTCCTGATCAGACTCGCTAGGAGACTTTTCCTTGCAAATATTCCTGCCCGCTTCCCAACAAGACCAAAGACTCGGCAGGGACGCGTTCCAGCGGGGTGTATCGTCTTCTTGTTCCTCAAGTTGCTCGACGAGTTTTCGGAGATGTTCGCCACCACGTTGCTTGACACCAACAAACCCGACTGTAGAAACGGCAAGCGGAATCTCATGGAGATCCAGCGTAGTCAAATGGCATTCGCGCTCTCTTGCGTGATCGGCATTCTCATTGTTCTCGCCCCCAACGTCGCCATCGCTAGCTGGACTACCAGCTTTCATTTCTTTCGTGGTAGAACCCGTGGGCTCCAGCAAGTTGGTAGCGCCAGGCGCATCCATGCGATTATTGCAACCTCCCACAGCAGACTTGTTAGTCTTCTGAGCACTTGGCTGGACTAGTTCCCGTTGATTTTTTATCTCTTCACCCCCCGGAGAATCGTCGGCGCCACCTCTGGCTTCAGTGCCAACTGCTGCACATGTTGACTCTGCCTCGGCTGTACCTCGAGCGTTTCGTTTTGCTCGTTTAATTCTGCGTCGGGTCATAGTGGAGCCCGCGCCTCCAGTTCTTTGACGTTTGCCACTACGCTGCCGACGATCTTGCTCGTTCCAGAGCGAAGCTTGGTGCTGATCACGACAGCGGAGGCTCACGTTGAAGTGGGAATTTTTCCTTTTGGGTGCACTATTTGTTGCATACAATTTTTTTAGTCTGACTAAATCGAATCTCAATTTCGAGATCAATAATGGCGGTGACTGATGGTATCATGTTGCTCGGGTCTGAGCTGGGCTTCGGCGTGAACGCGTTCGTGGGCGGCCTTGTGGGAATCCACCTGCTGGCGCTAGTGTGTAGCTTTATTACTCTGCCCCAATCTTAATTTACGTTGCTAACTGATGTCATCTCTGGGCAGTGCTACTGGTTGGTCAAGTTTTTGCAAGAAAGCTCCAAGACTGCGAAGTATGCTTCAGTCAAGAAGCGCCAGTGAGCACAACAGCGACGATTCCACTGGTGATAGGTGCAGCAATTGGAGCCTTTATATCAGTTCAAACTTTCAGCCTTCAGCAACGATTTCAACTTGCCGGGGTTTGTTCCTTTACTGCTCCAATAATCGTCTAACAAGAACATCTTCTCTATTGGCGGCCACGCATCTTCATCTCTTGCATGGCCTGGAAGCGGCCAGTGTAATATCCTGACTGATACCAGGCCATGAGAACGTTCGCCAAGCCATTGTCTGACCCTACTGCGCCGGGTGATGTTCCTGGGAATGGGACTGAAGCACCAGGCATACCAGGGAATGGCGTCGGCACGGCGGGAATGGGTGGAGGCGGTGGATAGTACGATGACTGCGCTGCAAATGTAGGCATCTGACCGCCTTGTCCAAACGGCTGAGGAGGTGCGGCAGCAGGATACGCAGCTTGGAACTGAGCTTGAAGCTGAGCGTACGCAGCCTGGTACACATCGCTCGATGTCTGCTGTTGTGGTGATGGCTGTTGCTGTTGATAGGCGAGCGGACTGAATCCTGGTGCATATCCTGGGGAAGCTGCAGCGTTCGGCTGTCCATACATTCCCACGTTTGCTGCTGCAGATGTCCCTGGGTGCCCATATTCGTTCTGCTCATCACCGTCCTCCGATAAGCTTCGTGCAGCCTTCTTGCCGTTCGACCGCGTCGCCGTTTTGTGCTTCCTATCAGCAGACAGAGAACATCGTGGGATCTAAAATCATATCAAGGCCCCTTCACCTACGAACACGACCCTACCTGCCACTTGACTTGGCGGATGTAGTGTTCCGAGCACGCTGGTCAGTCAGAGCCTCCTCAAACGCCTGCGTCCAACGAGTATCAACACAGGTGCATGCGACGTCACGCGTTTGCTTCGACTAAAAATGTAGAGCGTACCCGCACGATGGCCATGTCGTCCCATTGCTCCTCGGAATCCTGCTCACTGCCGCTCTACAGCATCATCCACAATAGCAAACAGGTCTTAAGTGCCACGGCCAGAGTCGCAGGTAAGCAACCACTCCGTTTACTATGGACGCCATTTGCCGCACTTGATAGATTAAAGTGATATCGGTTTGGCGAGTAAACGGCTTACAGTACTGTACATGTTATTCATGAGCACCACAACTATCATTATTTTTTAAAATTCTTAAAATAATGGAGAAGCACCACTAAATTAGTACAGGAGTGGTTGGCAGGGTTGGGTAATAATAGCTGAAGCTATTGTGCCAATATTAGCCATCGCAGTGGGGTAGTGTAGGGAGTCCCTAGTAAATCCGTTTCAAATGCGTCGTGTGCATCTACTCATTCGAAGTAGGCTGTGCAGCGAGCGAAGATGGCCGTATGTGTCAAGTCAGTACGTGTTCACAACGTAAAATTGGTTTCACTTGGAGCGATTAAAATTGTAGAGCAAAGCGTTCATGATTTTTTAAACCTGCCGCAACAACAGGAAACACAGCCCCCAGCAGTTAATACCGTGCATCCACGGGCCTTTTAAAAAATTTGTCTTATCGACGTCTTAGGGGTGGGGTCCTACGACTTTGCTTTAGTATGAGGAGCGCTTTGGGTTCATTTTCTGCGAGAGTCAGTCGAAGCAGGCGTCGCCACTTACATTCCGACGCCACAGGCAGCGCACGCTAACATGCGCTTCGCCGACCGCCTCAACGCCCTGCGCGCGGCGGCACTGATGACTATTGTGGCGACCCGACTCGCGAATGCTGCCGGTCAGATCGACATAATGTGTTCAGAAACGCCGCAAGAAGCCACTCTCGCGATAAACAGCAACTCCGCTTCGTATAAGTGCTCGCGCGGTCAAGAGGACCATACGAACTTGGACGGAGGCTTTTTTCAAGTCAGAATAGGGGTGTCTAAGGTGACGCTGGATCTGCAGTATTCTCCCATAACATCTCTGTAGGTCGCCCGTGGATGCAGAAACGTTATGGAAATCGTACTAAGTCAGCTCCTTTAGGAACTTCCTCGCCTTGAACGGGTCTCCCACGCTGAACTACACCGACTCGTTGAATTTCGCGAACTGGGATAAACTGACAAATCTGTGAGTGTTAAGAAGATGCTGATCCAAAGGCGATTGTCGAGACCGCTGATGTTGTTGTGTGACTATTAGGGCATTTGAAGGTGTGGAGTTTGCCCCAGCAACAGTCAATTTATCACTACCGAGCGCCATCACTGAAATGTATGAGATACATTTTACTCGCCTGAGATCATTGGGGCTGGTCTGACAACTGATTGCTGCGTGCTCGGTGCTGTTTAGCCACTTTATTAACTCGAAGCTCTCGGATCTCTCGCTGACAAATGAGGCCCAGAGTCTAACTACAATGTGAGTCAAGCCCCTTCCGTGTACAACGTGAAGAGCGACATAACTGACGCGCTTTCTTATCGTTAAGCAGCGATTTGGGCACTACTTCGGTGGAGAATTTCCCAAAAATCCTCTATGAACGCCGTTGGACTAGCACTATGGGGAACATGTACGTCATCTCTTACCACTGCTTATTTAAAAAGCCTTTGCTCAATGGGCGTGTAATGTTTCGCTGTGAAGTACTGTGGACTTATCGGGGATCAACAAAACCACCATGACTGAGGAACAATTTAACAATTTAAAAGCGAACCTGGAGACGCTCTCAACACAGGACTGGGCACAAAATTATCAGTGCACTAACCAAACCTCGGGCAGCTCAAAAATGACGATTCTAGAATGCAACTCGCCGAGTTCGTCAGGGAGTGAAAGCCCTTCATTGCAGAGCCACAACTCTACCCTCGGAAGCGGTTCCAGCAGCTCAAGCGGCTCATCAGACGTGAGCGTAGGCGATGATAGTAGCAGCGGCATTTCCACTGGAGCTCTCGTTGCGATAATTGTTGTGGTGGTCGTCATCGTGGTGATTCTCGCTGTCCTCATTTTGCGAATGCACTCTAAGCGCAAAGCCACTAACGCAAACGGTCACAATAATGACGCTACAGCGACGCTTATGAGCAAGGGCGACGCTGCTGCGGCTGAGAAAGGATCTTTTATCTCGAACGATGAATTCCTGCGCAACTTCCGTTTGCCTCAGAGCGACGTAGCACTCGTGAAGTCTCAGGGTACAGGCCGGCTATGGATGGGCGAATATAACGGCAACAAGGTGATGGTGAAGCGTGTAGAGTCCGAGGTGACGGACTCGTACGTGACGAAGGCTCTGATGGCCCAGTCGCGAACATTTGCCACTATTTCACACCCTAACATCACAAGTTTGGTGGGCGTCACATGGCTGGCTGGCACAGATTTTGCGGTTGTGACAGAGTATATGGACAAGGGCAATTTGAAGACGGTGCTTTCGAACACGGACGTGGACTTGGATATGACGACCAAATTAGAGATGTGCTGTGACGTCGCATTGGCTCTTGCCTATTTGCACGAGACGGAGCAAAACCTGTGCGCCAAGCAGTTGTCTAGCCACAAGGTTCTCGTGAATAAGGGTTTGACCTGCAAGCTCAGTCTGTTCGAGTGCGTACCAAGCTCAGCCAAGCTAGGAGGCCCAAGCAGTACAACCACCTATTCCTATGGCATGGGCGAGGTGGCGTGGTTGCCACCAGAGATTATCACGCGATCGTCGCCGATGGACGCACGGAAGAACAACATTTACGCGTTCGGCGTCTTGGTTAGTGAGATTTTCACGCGAGTGTCACCGTACCAGTCGCTGGTCGAGGCAATGGGCAACACAATGTCAGACGTGGAGCTCGTACAGCGTGTCCGGCGCCAGGATCCACTGATACCTCACGAAAACCGGCAAGAATTTCTTGCGACACCGCCAAGCGTGCGACGGATGGTCGAGCAGTGCCTTTCATATGCACCTATGAGCCGACCAACGGCAAAAGAACTCGTGCAAATTTTGCACAACGCGAAGGAAGAGTTAGCGACGAACAGCATCTGAAGAGGGGAAGAGCCCACCTTCGGGGATGGCGGGCGGGGAAAGTTGACGACAGCTGCCGTTCACGCGGGCTCCCCCGAGAACGAGTCGTCGTCGTTTTTCGTTTTAGGCGCCGACGCTCCGCTACGTGCCGACGAGGTGGAGCTTGAGGGCTTGAAGTGAATATGTTTTGTATTTCCCTCCTCGAGGTATTCGAGCTTATAAGTAAGCAGTCGGTTGTTTCTATGAAGACAGTGTGGGGGTTTAAAAAAATGGATCCTACCGTGCAATTCGATTGACTCAAAGCACCGCCGATAAACTGCTCGGAACGGCTGTAGGTGTACGAGTATCAAGTGCAGTTCTGCCAATCTGCATGCGTTTACAGATGTGTGCAGACACGATCGAAAGCGAGTTGGGTTGCTGAAATAACGGCCAGCGCAGGAGGTAGATCTTCATCGGGGAAGTGGCACGGGTCCGTAGCTCACAGCACCAACAGCCGACGCTAACCAGAGTACTTGATCGACTAAAGTGTCACGCCTTTGACGAGCGTTGCGACTCGCACGTAAGACCTCGCAATGCGAGGTCTTACGAATTGGAGCTCATTAAATAACTCAGTCGATCAGCATCATGAAGGCAACTTTTAGGTCACGCAATACTTCTTTGGCAGTTTTCAGTTTCTTACGAGACAACGCCATTCTAAACAACGCTGCGAAGGTGATGATAGACAGTAGACAGGAAGAATCCAGAGTACACAACATCATCAATGCCTCAGTCAGAGTAAGATTTTTTAATGGTGCACTTCCGATTTAGCCGTAGAGCCACCACGAGGCGCGAGCCACGTAGTGATTGGAGGGAGCCTTCTCTAGAAGAAGGTGTGAATCGACACAAGCAAAACCGACAGGAGCCAAAGCGTTAACTACTTGGGTTCATCTTACTGTCCTTCTGGTGTACCTCGACCGTCCTGCACGAGCAGAGGACACCATGGGCGGTGATACCAAGCCCCCGGATGGGGAACCGCCTCCGCCGCAACGCCGCTTATCCAAGAAGACGGCTGTAGTGAAGGAGGAAGTGAAGGATCTCGTGACACCACCCGGGCCTCCCGCAATGGGGGGTTCAAAGCCGTACGGGAACATGAAAAGTGAGCTGGAAATCCTACCGCACAAAGAGCAGTCAGAGGAAGGTGCAAGTCTCCATACAGGAGATAGAGAAGAGTCTGAAGACCCAGCAGTCGAAGACAAAACACGCAGCGAAAATGATGACGAATCCATGGGATGGTCTGGGTCAGAGCCTCTAGTTTTTGACGACGTCAAGGTTGAACCGCTTACCTTCACGGAAATGTTCGAATACCTACGTTGTGAAACTGCTGGTATGGATCTTGACAAGGCTATGGAAGTTGAGAGCGTGGCCGACTTAATTCAAGATCTATTCGAACAAGTTTTTCTCGCTAGACCACGAGACCCCCTGCCACCGACACGGGCACGATATCCTGACCTATCTAAGGGAGAAACTGAAAAGCTCCTGCACTACACAGAGGCAACAACTACGAACTATGATTCCCGTAAATGGCGGGCGAGACTGGAAGGACTTGCTCGCTCCATCTACAAATCTAGACGAACACTAAGTGAAACGCTGTCAGCAGCCGAACAAGCAGTGAAAGCCAGGCCCGCGCCAGTAGCAAACCCGTGGGAACAGCGACTATTTCCTCAATCTACCGGTAACGATGAAGACATTGACATGAACGACGATAAAAACTCCAAATTTCGCTTCCTTCGCAGTGCATATTCAGTAAATGAAATTGAAGAATTTCGAAAACTATGTGAAACCCGATATGGATTTCCTAGCCACCTTCGAGAACCCACAACGGCTGAAAAGAAGGTGATCAAAGGAATTCTGGAAGGATCCATCCTCTGTGCAGTCCTGCCTGACTTTCTCAAGCGCGTATGCACAAACAAAGCCTACAGATACATTCAAAACACGATCAAAGCCCAGGTAAAAGGCGATCTTGTTCTGCTGTTAAGCCCAGACTTTTAAATTTTTCCGCAATTTCAAACGCGAAAGAGACTAACAGCGGAGTTTTTTCTTGGTCGAGGCAACGATAAAAATGATTCCAAGAAGGTAGCAGGAATGCTTCAGGAAGCAAAGCAAATCTGCTACGACGAAGGACAGCATGCGATTCATATCATTTGCTGGACAAGAGAGCTAGCTGCAAAGTGGAGCACCGTTTTTACCTCATTGCAATTCCGTAACCGCCACTTCCAGGGGTTCCGAAAATGTTATTTTTATTAAATATATTTTTTATTTTGCAGTAAAATAATTTATTTTCGAGCTCCCATTTCAAAATCAAATAATTTATTCTGCGGTCTCTCCAGGCAATAACCTTTAACCGGGCTGATGGAGCCCTACGGACCAGCGGTCCAGCTTTACCGCAATCTACGATCGATCTGCCGCGCTCTCGTCCTCTCATTTTGATGGTTGGTCGCTGAACTGAGCCTACTGGAACGCTGCCACAGTCCGGAAGGTTGTGCGTGGTGAGGCTCCCACCAACTAGACGAGTATCAGCCACTGTATATTGCATGCAATAACACCAATAATTTTTGCACCCGTGGTGCTCCAAGCACTTAAAATTATTTTTATTGCTGTTTTGCCAGTCTCAATAAAAATAACATTTTCGGAACCTCTGGCCACTTCCCACTGCAGAATGTGCACACGGAGAAATTGGGAGCCGAGACGAATCCTGAGCAACGTGCTAAGCAAGTATGGGCTCGTCAGATTGGAGTAGACGGAATTCTTAACGAGCAACCACGTGATCGTTACCATATTCGCCTCCTCAATATCTCTCGTTTCATGGATGAGGCAGCCATTGATATGTTTTTGCAAGCGCACTTCAGCGGAACGTACACGACTTGGCAAGAGCCATGCACGGGATATAACAATGTGCTGCAGACGGATACATGGGACATATTCTTTAAGTGCCACACATGTCCTCAATTTTTGGACAGCAAACGATTCATCAACTGGAATGGCACTAAGATCCTCGTGCACCATGTTAGTAAGTCGGCCTCACCACCGTGTTTTTCATGTGGTGCCAAAGGTCATCTACGTACGGTATGTAAAGTAGATGACACGTACTGGCAGGATAACTACTGCGTCACTGTCTCGGCATGGGACATCGAGACATTGCCTAAACAGGCTTCTACTGTAACGAGCTTCAAAGAGCTACATAGCTGCTGGGTACCACCAGACACGAAACGCGAAACAACACCATCGACACGGCAACATGAAGAGGAAGGACGCGTGGGAAGAAACGATGGAGGAAGTACATGGCAAGAAGCCAAACGAGCAGAAATCACGCCAAACCAGGAAGCTTCTAACACACCTCAGGTGCGTATTCAGCGGCGTCCACAGGCCAAAGAAACAATAACCACGGAGCAAACCAGTGATAGAAGTGAAGCTGACAAGAAGCCCAAACATCTCGGCATATCCATTGCAGAAGAAATAAAAAACAAAATTCGACACGGTACGGCAGAAATGGATAAATGTCAGCTCTTAATTGAGCAGCTAGCCTCGGAACGCAAACGAAAAGTCGACCCTACAGCATTGAAAAAGTGTCTTGGAATTCAACTAAGGCAGAAACGGCAACCTCATACCGTGGTGGAGGCGTGTGGTCTGGAATTTGTTTCGACCCCACCAACAGGTAATTGCCAGTACTATGCAGTCGCTATGGCTCTCCTGAACCAAGGCTATGGTCCGGATGGGAACACCCGAGCTGTAGAAGACCTCACAGCGAAACTAAAACAAGGAATTAAGGCGGCAGCTGAACACTGCTTTGACAAAGAATTCCCTCACGATATTAGACAGACAATCCTCGGGATACTGGGGAGCGTTGACGACTGGATTGAACACGGATACGACGAAACCATAGACCCTAAAGCAAAGAAGCTCACGCCAAAACAAACAGAGACCAAACTAAAGAAGTACTTCGAAGAAGTAGCCCGGTCAACTTCGAGAGTAGAAGCAACTATACCAACTAAATATTGGGGAGGTGAAGTTACTCTACGAATGATGGCCAAGATATTGCACCAGCCCATCTTTGTTGTGATTGCCAGAGATGGGAACAAGGACCCATCTTATCAAGTGTTTGATCCAGCAGAACCCATAACGTCTGCGCCAACGAAATTCTACACAGCGAAAGAACGGTCTTACTCTGACAACCCCAACGGTTGGATCAGAGCCCTCCAGGAAGACAGCAAACGCCAACAAGAAAAGGGGAGCATCCCGGTGGTGCTGAAGTTCCGCGGAAGACACTACAGCTGGCTTCGGTTCCAACACAGTTCTCTGGTGAGAACAGAAGCAATTCCCATGGAAATCGACAGTACTACCGACAAAAGATACGATGCGATCGATCATCACGAAGACCAAAGTGATAAGAAAACGGTGGCTGCAGAGCTTGAACAAATCCGGGAAAACATGGCGAAGGAGCAGTCACGCTTCCCCTCATTGGAAGTAGCAGAGCTGACACCCAGAAGACGCGACGAACTTCGTGAGCTGGATCTCACAAACACGGACGAAGTAGAAAAATGGTCAAAATACCTGAATATTCCGATTGAAACCGTAATACAGTGGCAAGCACAGCTACAGAACATGGGATCCACGTCCAAATTCATGCCAAGTCCATCCGCTACGGAAACAGAGACCAGCTCGAGCTGGACCCCAACTGAATCCTCGGATATGAGCACAGACGCTGAGAATGATAGCAAACCCGCTCTGTCAAGCGCAAGCACAGGAACTGGTCGATTTCAAGGCTCTAACACAACACTGGAGATCAGTCGACTACGTCGAAAAAGTCTCCAACAAGATTGGAATCAGCTCGCGCAACAATGGATTTCTAGCACTATAGTATCGTTTCCTACGATTCCTACTGATTTGGCCACTTGGAGAAATGTGACTGCTAGAGAACCAGACCTTCTTTTCCATACTCTTCAAGACTTTGCGTCCCCTGACTACGTTCTAAGCTCAATGTCGGACGCAATCTTTGAAATTTGGACGACATCAATCCGAACAACTGTTCTCATCCATAGCCTAGAACGACTTGCCGATGATCCAAATCTGCTCCGGAAAAAAAGGTGGGTGCAAGGCTGGATAAAAGCGATACGTCTACAGCTTCAAAAACAACCTAACCAGGTCGAACTATTTCCGAAAGAACTATGGAAACCATTAAAGGCAATGCATTATGGTGACTCGGAGCTACTTAAGCTATGCCGCGAACAAGAATCCCAGCAATTGTCCAGAATGCTGGTAGCAGCATACATTTACAAGGCAGAAATTCGAATGCTGGTGGCAGCTGAAAACGACCCGCCTGTAACTCCAACTGAACATTTGCAGCAGTTGTTTGAAGTTCTTGAGGGTAACCCTGACATTCATGCTGCAATTCATAGCCAAGACGCTACGGGCTGCTGGGCACGACTCGAGACAACGCTGGCAATCTCCGCTATGACAAGTGGGCCGGCGGCAATGGAACCACAGCGTCGTGATTAGCGCTACTCCACATGACCATCACGACATGAACGATAAACCAACGGAAGATTATTACGCAGAACTTACAAACATAGCAGCACGATCGATCAAGGAAGTGCTCTAGTCATGAAGCATTTACTATAGCTACGAGAGGATTCGCTTGGAAATCTAGGAGAAATTGGATGAGTGGATGGAGAAGGAGACGGGATGGGCTCCTACCACCCGACATCATCTTAGTCCAAGATACAGCGATTCATCAACAGCTAACAGTCATCGAGATGACACAACAATGGAAAAGATCGTGGCAAACATTAACCACGGAACACCCACTCAGCTACTGGACGGTGACGAACACTAAAGCGGCTGGGATGGGGATTTTAGTATCACCAACTATGAGTTCACACGTAAAGCCGTGGAATAAAAGTGGATGGACATCAAGATTGATGGCAGTTGAATACCACGACTGGTTAATTATCAACCTATACGCTCCAGCAAAAGGAGAAGACCAAACGCAATTTTTCGAAGATCTAAAGCCATGGCTATCCCACCACCAATCCATTATAATAGGGGGGGCTTTAATTCCGTAATGAGACCAAGCAGGGACCGAGTGGAGCAACGACGAAAAAGTACCGGATCCTGCGAGAGCGAAACATTATTTCGCATTCTAGATACTCAAGATATGACGGACGCAGTAGATCTCCAGTTTGACCTTGACGGGGACGATGAAGTACAAGACCCGCTCCATCATTTTACCTTCTGGAGGAAAAACAGCGCTAGTCGCCTAGATCGATTCTACGTCAAAGGAGAGCCTTTTCATATACTGCAAAGCATGAATGTTCTTGACCCTGCTCATGACTCGGACCATCAGGAAGTCCGCATTAACATTTGCACAAGAAAGACTGAAAGAGAACTCAGAACTGGAAAATTGTACGTGGCCGACCTCATCGGATTCGTGAAGCCATCGAACGAGGATTGATCCCGCTTTTGGATGATTACGAACGAACAGCAGACCCTGTTGGCAAATTTGACGCTCTGATAGGAGATATTCAGCCATTGCTCAAACGAACTCGAATAGACGACAGAAAACAGGCGTCCAGATACTTCCGAAAACTTCGCGCTGACACACATGTTCCAAAAGCAACGCGGCCAGAGACGGTAGCACAACAACAAAATCTTCGCCGCCAAAGAGCTGCAAGATCGTTTGGGAAACAACTAGAAAATTCGTCAGAGGAGGTGCGGCGTTTATTTAAGAGGAACTCGGACTGGCAACGGGATCAGTCCGTGTCGCACATTGACCCTTCGCCAGGCCACTTCTATGATGACTGCTATCCAATTGAAGAAAGAATGGCTTCCGAATGGAGCCACGTGTTTGGGAAATCCCATGCATCAACCTCACCGGAAAAAATTAAAACAGCTTTGAAAAAATTTGCGAATATTCCCCAACAACGAACCTTATCAGACAAAGAAGCAAGAACGATGACGAACCCCATATCGGAGGAAGAAACTGAGTCGGCAATTGCAAATTTAAAGCGCCACAAAACAGGAGGGTCGACAGGTCTCAGTCACGAATTCTATAAGGATTTTGCTTCATTGCTTCTTCCAAGTCTCACCAAGCTTTTTAATGCCATCCTCAAAGGACAAGGGATACCAGCTTCATTTTTGAAGGCGACAGTGATACCTCTTCGAAAAAATGGAGACTCTGCCGACGCGATGGACTATCGTCCAATTGCTATCCTGAATACAGCATATAAATTGCTCGGCAGAATCTTGGCTGAGCGATTACATGCACTACTACCCAAACTTATTAGCGATTCTCAACAAGGCTTTATACGAGGACGCAATATTGACAAAACAGTGACAATTTTGCGCTCTATCCTTGCCGCAAGTGAAGACATGGACGCAACAGATTGAACAAATGCAGCAGCGATATTGTGTGTCGACCTTCGGAAAGCGTACGACACCCTTGACAGGCAGTATATGCTGCAAGTACTACGAGGATATGGATTTACTGACCAGTTTATTGAAGTAATTTGGACTCTTCACGAGGGTACAACTGCCCAATTTTTGGTTAATGGTAAATTATCATCTGAGTGGGAGGTGAACTCTGGCATTCGACAAGGATGCCCGCTAGCCCCTCTGCTATTTCTTTTAACAGTGGATCCCCTAAGTCACGCGATAAACAACCACCCTAAACTGCAGGGGATTGCAATTCGAGGAAATCTCTCCTGCCGCCATAAATTTTCAGCGTTCGTAGACGACAGCACTGTCTTTTTGAGCTCGTTGCACGAGCTAGAATTCGCCAAACAAGTGCTCGATGAATTTGGTGATCTATCTGGACTGAAAGTGCAGCCAAACAAAAGTATTCTGATAGGGCTTAATCGATGCGGCACTCCAACTAAAGGGAATGGATTTCCGGTACTCTCATCAACTGCTTCCACACGACAGTTGGGGTATTGGATTGGCAACAGAAATACTAATAGTGAGAATTGGAGTATACGCATTGAAAAAATTCAAAGACGACTGCGGATAGCAACAACCATAACCAACTCTGTGGCTCAACGAGTAACACTGTTCAACGCCATAGCACTACCAGCAGTTCTGTTCACAGGAAAGCACTTTATTCCGTCCAGAAATAATTTACGCAAACTAGTAAATCTCCAAAAGCAATTTGTCTGGAACGAAAAAGCTAGCACGGAAACCACCAAGCACAAACTGAACCCAGCTCTAGTCTACACACCACGCGATCAAGGAGGTCTTGGATTACAAGATATCTCTCTGGCACTGCGGGCGACGAGGAGTAATCTTGCAGAAAATGGCTGCAAGCCAAGCCAGATATTTACTCCGTGGCATGGCATGCTATGGCCCACCCAGGCGAAGAACCATCACAATTATGTTGCCAGTTCCGCCCAACATCAGCACGTATGTTGTCATTATGTGCTAAGGAATCCCATGCCACGGTGATTCAAGAAGGAAGTTCGCGTATTCATCTGGAATGTCGCAGTCGTTTGTCATCGCTGTTATAAATCGTAATTGTGTGCCTGATATCCAGTAGCAGGATCGTGTTGCCGGAGCTGATATAATCATTTGTTGTATTTTCTTAAGTTGATCGTTCTTGGGTATCATTTTGATTGACTGCGAGTTCCATAATTCCAGTTTACCTAGAAGCTGAACAGAAATTTGTGGCTGACGACGATAACGCAAATGTGACTGACAAAAACGGCAACCCTCTCCGCTTACAGAACTTTCCATCTTTGCGACCAGCACGAATCAGAGATATAGTCTTTACTATCGAGAATTTGAGCCCAATGCAAAGCGACAAGGCCGCCGTGTTACAACCACCACTGCATAAACAGCCATACACACAGAGACATTCACGCCAAATAGTGAGATGGTGCTCATGTGTCATGCTCAGCCTACCTTGGAAGATATGGACAGTGAAGCCCCAAACACTACAACCAAGAAATCTCCCACATGTGCAACATGATTTAGAATGGACCTATGGGGAAGCTGACGATACTTTAACAGCTAAAGTAAAGAGCGGAGAGAGCAGCAATCTGGACATACAACTGCAACGAAACCAAGACGGGTGGACCTGGAGCATTATGAAAGCGTCAGCATCGTACCAAAAAACTTACGACTATGAAGAATTAGTGGCTTGGATAAACCGAGAAGGTCTCGCTTTTAAACAAACACCGCAAACCGCTCTCTATCCTTGGTCAGCACCAGAACTCACGAAATCAGCCAACTTGGGAATCACGATCCGTAAACAGCGAACCAAGGTATTAAAAACACAACTTCGATACAGCCTTCAACCCACTCTCGAAAAAATAAAAAGGAAAAAAGTGCATCAGCCTGGCAAAGTGCAGCGCTTCAACAAACTGTTTACCAGCTGTGGTCCACCCAAGGTATTTTTACAGACTTCCAAAACTGGACAATGTATCGTATCGCTCTTGGAGCTCTCAACTTGCGCCACGATAAATGGCCTGACCACCGTGAATGTCCTGAACCTACATGTCCTTGCACCACTGAAACGATAGACCACATAGTATGGAGCTGCGATAAAGCACAACATGCTTGGAAAAGATGGCTTGAATAATGGCTCGGAGTTCCAACTACCTTGACGAAAAGAAAGGCATTACTGGAACACGTTGCGTCAAGGAAGTCACCAACAGCGACAGCAGAATTCCTGTAACGGGGTACGTAG